ATCGAACATTTAACCACAAGATAAAAAATGTGTTTGGAGCACTGTGCATAAGAGCGTTACCTAGTGACTTCCATCGGGACCCTGGGTTTTAGCTTAAAGTGCATACTTTTAAAAAAATGTTTCTGAGGTTATAAGGGTAAATGTTTTGGAGGAAGTTCCTGAAAACACAGGTCCTGTAGGAACCATACCCTTAATCCATTGGCTTGATTCAGTTTTCAGCACAATCAGTAAAATCCCACTGCCTTTGCTTGGCTTTGGATTAGACCTCAAGGGTCACGAACTGGTTGAACTAAGCAGTGGAGCAGATGCAAGCTTCCTCAACTTGCGGACCTTTCTACCAGATTTCTGTTCAAACTTGTTAGCATCTGAATCTCAGGAGTGTTTTCTGGAATATACATCTGCAGAAACCAACATATACAGCAAAAGTGTAAATTATTGTCTTAAATCTCAAAGCTTATACTTCTAAAAAGGACAACAGTAACTTTCCTTTTAGGGATCAGGGTACTATGTTCGTATATAACTCCAAGCTTGAAGATCTCTTCTTTTGTGGGGTGTTTATGCACTCCTTATTCAGCTGTCGTACTACAGTTTAATTAAGCAATATGCCGCTTCAACTGCAGTCAGCCACTATGGTCAGGGTACTTTTCCTCTGACCACCGTGGAGAGTTGGCTGTTCTAATTTCATTTGTTCAAATTAACGTGTTAACTCCCTCTGAGGAGGTAAGTAGTTTCTCACAGCTTGAGGCAGGACCTCTGCACACAAACCCTTTTAGTTCATAGCAGGGTTCAGGCATGCAAATGTTGACATTTTGAAATTGTTTTCCCAGTAGGTCAAATTAGTATTAGTGGCTACAAAAATAAAACACATCTACCCTGATGCCTTTCATAATTAGGCTGGCTCGAAATAAACCCAAACGTTTGCCATTATATTAGAAGCCATCTCAGCTGCTGCTGGAATTACGTTTGTTTAAGGAAAAAAATAAAACAAACCAAAATACTTTATCTTGAATATTTATTTGACAGTACAGGAAACAGAAATGGTTACAGTAACTTTTGAAAACTTTGGAAAAGTTTAACTTTGGAAAAAGTAGTGCGTCGGTTGTACACTGATTGGTAACGCGCCATGGAGGCTCAGGATTCACTGATTTCAAGACTGTGAGATATCCATCCTTGAAGATTTTCCAATATGCATGTGTCAATAGGAAACCTCTTCATCATCAGGACAAGGAGTCATCTCCCCAGCTAATTTAGAAGTATGAATGTAGTCTGTAACAGAATGTCAGGTTGGTGTTTTGTAATGTCCTTCTTGGGTATTACTTAGTCTTCAAACATTATAAACATGTAGAAACATTATTGTGACTTTAGTTTATTACAGATTTAATCAAAATCCTGCTAGATGGTAAGGACTTTGAGAGACACATTCAGTACACTTCACTTTAAGATTTTAAGTTATATCCACATCTGCTGTAAATTAATTTGGGTTTACTAAAAGCAATAGTGAAACAGAGTTATACCAATTTCTATCAGCTGAAATCTGGCTCTTTAGAACTTATTTGGAACCACCCAGTGTTGCTTTAATTTGGAAACACTGATTCAGTGTCCTGTTCAGTTTTAGGTGAATTGCGACTTTAAGATATTATTTTTAAATATTTTTTTGGCAAATCTCTGGAGTATACTGTTAGCCACAATGTGTTAGTGTGTGACCATCAAGGAAAAATGTGAGTTCTCCTTTAACTTTCAGCGGGAGTTTTGTGTGAATGTTCCTCATCTGTCAACAGTGACTCATGGTATCTTGGATCAATGTGGGCATTTGGAAGCCTGTGCGGCAGTTGACATACATATACACTTGAATATTGCACCCAAAGGAGCATTCTTTTGGAGGGAAATTAGCGGAGAAACCAGCGGAGCTGCTGAGAATGAATAATATCATTGGGTCTGGAAGGGTAAGTGGAAAGTGCCCTGCCTTTTCCCCCCGAACATTCCAATTTTTAATGTGTCCTTTACATAAACCAAACTTACACTGAGGCTACACAACCTGCGTAAGCAATTCATTAAACTCATTGTGCAGGCATGGCAATTTGGTGCCAATGGAGAATGTTTCCTGAATTCAGGTGAAAAATGGTCCTGTTTTAAATCACTTAAAGTGCAAAGAAATGTAGAGTGTGAAACAATGAACTAAATCAAAATTCACAGTATATTTTGCAGAAATTGTTACGTT